TTAAATGATTTACACAGATTGAAAGCTAATATCATCGCTTATTTTCTCCTTCTTTAATTTTTGCTTCTAATTTTGAAATCTTCCTTTTTCTTCTTTTTACAATTATTGATACAACTATGGAATAAAATTTATCATTTATTACATCATTAGCTAATGATAAATGCACCAAATAGAAGAAATGGAAGAAATTTTGATACCTTTATCCAGTTTTCCTTTCATAAACTGCTGCTCATTTTGATTTTCAATCTGAAAATTTGAACCAATAAAATTGTAAATAATTTTACAATGAAACAGTTAAAACCTCATTTAAAAAAAAGCAATATAAAATTAAAAAGTCAAGAAGAAGAAAAATCAAAACACATAAGAAAAAGGAAGGATATGAAATCTTCGAAAACTAAAAGAAAAACAAAAATAATACACCTTAAATTGTGATGGTTGTTTTTGTGTACATAAGGGATGACTGAATGAATCATTTTTGGCATATTGCAACAATTTCGGATATCTCATAAGTGGTACCTTTGATAGGAACATCCTGAAACTTGAATTTTAAAAAACTAATTTTAACGAATGCATTAAGAAGAATCGATGATGTGAGTGTGACATGAGAGAAAAAAAATAAACGAGATGACCAAAGATCAACGATCAATCTGAAACTCAAATGAAATTTGCCCATGCTGTCGTATCGATTAATTTCACAATGATGAAATATGATGTAGTATCATTGGATTAGTATCGTTTGTACGTTCAAAATATCATCAAATATGATATCTTTGATATTATTTCGAAAAAAAAAAAAAAAGGAAAATGCATATATGCTATAAAAAGTCATTTTAGTACCAATAAAAATAGCAGCCATTATTATACCGTCAAACTAAATATTTAATTAATCACAAATTAATTCACAAAAAAATACCGTAAGCAGCATCCAAACTCAAAGCAATGTGAAAATGAGTTACAGTATTGTAAGTACCATGCAAAATTATACCCAAGGTAGCAACACTTGGAGTAATCCAATGGTAAAAAAAAAAACAAAATTATAAATTCTGCATCATAAAAGTTAATC